TTTGAGTTACACGATCATTATGGTAGCGTTAATTTATCTCCAATAAATAAACCGCGTGTAATTTCGACGTTTCATAAAATATTAACGCTGGGTTCCAATTATGATTCCGGTCTCCATCGTAGGAGACCAGGATCATAAGCTTCTCCGTATATTTCTGAGAGTGCAATTAACGGAAATGGACATTTCCGGCCGTAACCGAAAACTAGTTCGTCGCGAAACACGGTAGTACAGTATCGCCGCAGCGGCTGATATTGTAATAAACGGACTGCGCGCGAGGCACCGCAGCCATTAATTCACGTGGATCGCGCAAGGCGGTGGTGGTCCGCAGGGGTATAAGAAGGCGAAATTTAGTGAGCCACTGGTGGGAACGTACAGACCTCTAATGGCCATTCCGATGACTATGGTTCTCGACCACAGTGGCAATCCCCTTTCGGTCCCGTTCCCCAAGTTCTCTCGGCGAGCACGGTCCCTCACGCTGCGTCCCTTACACGTTCTAACTCGTTCTTCGTCCCGCCAACCACCCCTTTGTCACTCCCTCTCGCTTCCTATATCGAATCCCTCCTCCCCTAACCTCTCTTCCTACCCCACCCGCGTATGCAACGGCGTTCCAGCAATTACGCATCGCCGCAGTTAAATACAATGGCCAGGACAACGACTCTGTAATTTATCCCCGGTTTGGGCCACCGCCCGTGCGTTTGTTTTCAACGACGGTGGAGGTCGTCGTTGCCCTTTCCGCGCGGCCATTCGACCCCATCCAGCGTTCGCCACGTTTAAATTAATGATAAGTAATAATGCTGGTGGACGTCGTTGTCTGAACGTAAAATACGGACTGGGTGATTATCAGCGGATTATACAAAAAAATATCACGTCTACCAAATTGTTTCTCGTTTATAAAATTAACATGATGTCTGACGGACGAATAATACACTGTTTAAAAATTAAATCTACATTTAGCAGTATAAACGCGTTTAGATCATATGTACATGTATTATATCAATTGTTAATTGTGAATCATCATTATATTATGGGCGATAATCAATGGTTCCCTCGAATTATTCCATTAGGCACATCCATGAATCTCTAAGAGACCGTCGTTATTCAGTCCTGTTTCTTCGGCATTCAAGTTTATGACGATTAATAATATATTACACGCATAGACGACACACACAGACATGCATATATTTAAAATACGCGTCGATAAAAGTTCAACACGCGAATTTGCAAGTCTTACGAACTCGCACGTTGCTTACTTCCTTTTCATCATAATTAATTGATGTATGAACCGTTAAAGAATGTCGATTAGTGAATCGACGATCGATGTTTAAGATATTAAAGTCTCTAATTACTTTAATGGTAATAAAACGCGATAACAGGACGTTTCGCAAAATAGAAATTTATAGCATTTATAGATTTGTTGCGTTCTCATGATGATTAATAGTTACAATGCTCTTTTATCCCTAATAATAGCTAACAATTAATGCTCTTGTACGGATTATTGTCTTGCTTCTATTACACGCTGATATAGAATTCTTCTTATCCTATTAAACGTTTATATATCTTTAATCGTTTCCTTATTTCAAAAGTGATACAACTCAAAATGTTATTTTTTAGTTGTTATCGAATTAATTAAATTTTAAATAAACATTACACTTTTAATCATCAAAAACAAAGTTAAATTTTTACAAAGTTACATTAAAACTCAATCATTACAACTCAAAAAAGAAATTTTAAGAAAGATCATCAAAAATGTTACAACTTTAAAAGAAATTTTTTTAAAAATTGTGAAACGAAAATGACAAAAAATTATATTTATCATGTTAAGAATCTATTCTCTTTGCTGATATTCTTTGATTGGACAATAATTTATTTTCTGTTGAAAAATAGTTCCCCCTTGCCAGGAAAATTTAGTTTCTTGAATTGGTCAGTTTTGAAATAAGGGAGCGATTGTTCATAATGCATTACAATTTGATAAATTCATTTACAATACTTTGAACAGTTTCATTCGTGTGAAAAATGTACGAATGTGTACGTAAAAACTCGAAAAAGATTTTGAGAGATTTTGAGAGTTTCCTACACTTGTGTTTTATGTATAAATTTTTAAAAAATCATATTTTTAGCGCATTTGCGACTAATAAATACGTCTTTCGAAAAAAAAGACAAAAATTTAACTTTTTTTCTTTTTTAAAATTACTTTAAGTCTCTGTATTAAATCTACATGCAATAGTAATTTACTTTCATCCCTATAAAAATATCGCGATTTTTTAAAATACAACTCAAATCCAACTTTTTATTAACTTTATATTGACATTTTTGCAAATATTTATTTTTTACTTTTGATACGTCAGAATTAAGCAACACATGTGCACAGTATCTTCTATCTATTTCTGACGATCATAATCCTTTCGCAACTACCGGTAGCTTTGCTATACACGATACCAGAAAAAAAAACGCGCTCGTAAATCCGATCTCTGCGAGCACGTAAACGCATACGTGTGCACGCAATATCGTCTAACAGGTGCGCACCTACATCGCTTATCTCGCGTCGATCGCCACAAATCCACGTGCGAACACGTTCGAATATTGACGTACCTACTATCATCCTCGGTCGAATTCCGTTAGAAATACTTCAAAGTCGACGTTTGCCGATTCGTCGTTCTTTCAGAAAAATCAAACTAACTTTAATTAAAAGGAAAAAAATATATATTTTATAATAAATAAAGCTCTGAGAAAAAAATATGTAGAATAATGCATTAACAATTAATTGTACGGTTGTCAGACTTTGCTTCGATAAATAGCGAAACGAAAATTTGTAAAATAATAATAGTATTGATTTATTAAATATGTATATAAAAGGGTATTAAATAGCATTTCATAAATTATATCTATTGATATTTTATATATATCATTAAAAAGTATAATACCTGAATTTGCAATTCGAATATGAATAACACGCTAATAAATTCAACGCGCTAAAATGAAACAAAACTACATAATAGCAGTAACGGGGATCACATGTCTCATTGATCAGACTTCCACTTGAGTATCTCATCGGCCGTGCTTGAGATATCGAACGGTTCGTTAGTTCGGGATCAATTAATATGTCGTGAGGCGTCACCGAAAACAGAAACTTTGAGAGTTTTCCTGATTAAACAAAACATCTTTTCAAAAACGTGACTTTGTTGCATGTGCGCGCGCAAACGTGAAGAGCATAAAGAACGTAGGTATGATAATGACGCTAATTAACACGAGGATAATTTTAGTTGAGTGCTTATACCGCAGCAGCATGGCGACATTTCTAAACGCCTCTCGGCTAATTGCTGAACGTTTAATTGGCAATTGAACCATTATATCGTTATTGCTTTTATTTCTGTTACTCTCGCGTAAGTGCAATGATAAGAGAATAAATTTCTTTAAAATAACTGTATTTCATTCTAATTGATCATTATCGTTATTTTTATAATTTATTGCGTTAAAAGTTATGCGGCTATTTTTTTTTATTTTTATCAGCTGTTCTTTTTTATCTTTCATTTATTACTATTTGAAATATTGGCTGCGTTCAGCAGAAATAAATAGCTTTGCAACTGTTATAAAATTTTTTAATATAATTGGTTTATACATTTATAAATAGATCCAATGAGGTTCGCAAGACCAATATCGTATTAAATGGATTTTACAACGAAAGTTGCAAAGTTGCTTTTCTGCTGAATGCATCCATTTTTGATAATTGTGTTACTTGTTTAATTAATAATTATATCATTAAGTATACGTGAATATGTAAATAATTTCGCGAAATAACGTAAATTCATATTCTGTTATTTTTGCCATCAATTTTCGAAATTATTCGATAATTTTTTTTTTAAAGAATTTATATTTATCTCTATTTATTTCTTTCATATAAACGTAAAGCCAAAATTCGAATGGACTAAAGATAACTATTAACATTATTATTATACTTGAACTTAACATTGCATTAAGCAATGCAGTCTGAAAGTTTAGGCTTTGCTGATTTATTAATACAGTTATTGTAAGATATTTTCTATCAGTATTATAGTACTCGTTTCTTTGGTATTTATTATTAATATCAATAAGATTTGAGAAATAAGGAAAAGATGAAAGAGAATGCGGATGTTGAGAGTAAAAGATTTTTTACTTCGATTTAATTGGCGACGAAGTATAAGCGGATTACATGGAATATTATAATCACTTATTGCGGAAAACACTGGGATATATACGTTATACGTACTTTCTCTATCTAAGCTGTATAACATATGTATCTAGACTTGTATATAAGAATGAAGAATATACAATGTGAGATCGTTTCATGCAGTGATATAATAATCGCCATCTAATCTCTAATGTATATCTTACATATAAACAAGAGCACAAATTATCATTATATTTATACACTATATACAAATAAATAACTTACACTTAAATTGACAGGAAACTTTTTTTCGTAAACTAACTGAGAATCCTATCTATATATATAACTAACCCTAGTAGCATAGCTCGATATATCCCCAGTACTTAACAACTGTATATCAATAAATTTATTGCTACTAGGGAACAAATATAAGATCAAAATTAGTAACAAGCACACACTAGATTTAATTTTCACGTCAATTCATACGCTAGGATAGTTTTCTTCGTACCAAAGCAATCTCTTGACTCGTGTTTAAAAATGTTAAAGTATACGTACGTCATATACAAATGCATTTTCTTTCGTTAGAAATTGACAATAGGTAATAGATAAGAACTATCGCAAAATTCTTCATAAGAATAAAATGTCTATCGAATTATTTAAAAAACAATTATTGAAAAATTGTTAATTTTCTCTTAAATACTTTACTTTAAGCAAAGCATTATATTTACTTTTATAAAGTAAATATAATTTCGTTTATTTACAATTGTTTGAACTCATTAAATACTTATTTAATTTAAATATAAAAATGTTGAAGCCAAATAATTTTCTAAGATATTTTATAAAAATTTTTTCGCTGGTTTTTTTTTTAATAAAAAGATCCTATTTATCATTAAGCATGTCGATTTACTTAGCTATCAGTTATACTGTTCAATTGCACTATAAAAACAGATTTCATTCCTCGTTACTGTTTACGTTTTTCCTCCCGTTCTGTCCTCAGTCTTTATTCAATCATAATGATTATTATATATTCGGTATTTCTTCATAAATAATATTTTATCGACTTTTTCTTCGTCGACTGCGTTCAACGCTGACGACGGCTTTTAAACGCGGCCACATATCATTCTAGTCTCTAACTCTTCGTTTCGTTACTGCTATTTGAATTTATGCGAGTCTCAATGATTCCTTCCGGTCACAATCTCGTCGCTATCCTCATCCACCGGCACGGTGGAATGGTTGTAAAGACCTTGCGCCATTAGCTGGAGGGCCAATGGATTTTTCTGTCCGCTCGCCTTCTTTATCTTCGCCCGCTTATTCTGAAACCAGATCTTGATCTGCGCCTCATTCAAACTCAAATCCCGCGAGAGCTGCTGCCTTCTTCTCTCTGTCAAATATCGATTCTCCGCGAATTCCCGCTTAAGCCTGGCCAGTTGTTCCGCGCTGAAGGCCGTCCTGGGCCTCTTCTCTTCCGCTGGGTTGGTTTTGGTGCTCTGCGAACGTTTCACTCGTCTCGTGCGCGGTCCTGAAATGACAAAGGAAAGTTCGCATTAATCTTCACGCGCGGACTTTTGTAACTGAAGTTCGAGACGGTGAGACAGGCGGCATTATCACGGGGAAAGTGGGCGTTCTCATCAATTTGTCCACACACCACCACGTGATTCAGCGTTTTCGCGACAACGAGAGAACGCGCCCGCTTGTTCGCCTTGTAAGAAGGACACTTGAGGGATAACTGTATCTGAGCAACCGCTTTGGAATTTAGCGAAGGCGGAAATAGTTCGTCTGACCGTATCGCGGCGTATTTGAAAACGACACCTGCATTCACATGTGAAATGTAATTTTACCCGACTGCTAATGTCTACCGTTTACATCTCTCGTACGACATAACATAAAATACGTTGCATTATTAAAGAGTCAAGGATCGAATTATGTCCTTTCTCGCGTTAATGATCGGAATTTTGCAACGTATGCTTTTAATCGCAATAATGAGTACTCCAATCACCCTGCGCAGCTTCTCATCGGAGGTAACGTTCAGTAAGGAAGTAACGCCGAGTATCCTGAGCATTAGCGTTACACGTTTCTGATTTTTATTTCAGATAGATAACGCAACTATGTAGAGTTGGAACACATCCGCGTGCTTCAGCACACGTTGCAGTTATCGCCGATGCGATGTTATTATTATCGGGTAAACCGTTAATCCATCGTTTCAGCTGTTTGTAATTTAAAATATATCTCTACGATATAAGACATAATTATTATCGAGTGTGTAAAATACATATAATTATCCGCATTATATCATTACTTCTGAAAAAGTCATATATTTCAATACGTAGTAATTTAAAAAAGATATCTGATCGTTTCACATACCGATCGTTAATGTTTGTTAATATTATCATCGTTAAAAATACCAGATGTTAACTCACTGCAAAAAAATCGCAACCATGCTCTTTTTGCCACAATCATCGCTTCAGTTTTAATTATAAATAATAAATGGCGTCCCATTATTAAACTATATGTATGATAATTTCTAATCTATTGGTTTTCAATCTTTTGTCTTACGTATTTTTCCAAGAAATTTTTTATTTAAAGAACTCCTACTGTTTGCGGCGCAACGGAAACACAGCGGGTGATGCGAAAAGGGTCTGATTGAATAAACTCCTCGAGTTATTAATGAAACAAAATATATTTACAATCTGTAAAAATAAATGATTATAAGTACAAATATATATATATATCTTTACTTGAATGTGAATGCGCTTCCATCGAGAGCTCGCGAAAATACTGCGTGACACATCAAGTAAACAACTTAATACTTAAATGTCGACAACGCAAACAATTTATTAATGCTTGGAATGCTATGACGTGAGAGCATGATAATTAGGTGATAGCGAAACAGAAACAAAAGATTTTTTCGGTTTTTCAAAATATTTGCAAACCTTCACGATTATTAAAATCAACGAGTCGAGGATTACAAATAATAATGCAAATTTTAATCAGCTCGCTTTGTCTCAGCAATATATGTCAGTGTCTTAATCAGAAAGTTTGATACCGAGATAAAGACGCTCTAAGGAATATGTTCTTATGAATATGCCAATTGCTCACAAAAAAAGTGAGTACAATGACGTTGAATTTCTTAATCGTGTAATTTGCAATTTATATTAAGTTTGTATCTACTATAACATCTTTTCTAAAAATTAAATAAATTTGCTAAAGTGATATATCTATTGATATATCTATTGATTCATACAAGATTTATATTTGTTTCTTTCTTTTTTTTTTTCCTATCACTAAATGGTACAAAATGTTACATGAAACCGCACTCAAGGGTTAACGCTCGACGATGAAGAGGCTCGAGGAAGATAAGTGGGCGATCTTCGACAATTAGTAACGAGGTTATCGGATCGAAATTCACGGACCACCCCAAGTATAAAAAAGGCCGGGGAGTATTTAACTGACAGAGAAAGAGAGACAGACGAAGAGTCGTAAAAAAAGGAAGCAGAAAAATGGTAGCGTCGTATGTGGGGCAGTGATTGCAGAGGGTAGGTTTTGTAGAATGTAGGTTTCTACACAATTAAGTTCTGCGAACGAGCGCAGGTGGCATCAGGCCGTACGTTAGCTTCACCCAGCTATACTTGCAATTAGATGTAGCGATCCTTTCGTATAAAGTTCCGTGATCTCCTGCACAGAGCGTAATAACTTATTGCGGTAATATCGAACGGCGGGATAGACATTAGGCCCGTATGTTGGCCATCATATAATTTATTTGTGGAGCAAACTGTTATCTAACACGAACGCGTAATTAGATACTCTCAAGGCAGAGATCGCCGCAATTTGTCGACGAGGCGTCGCGGATAATCACGACTCGCGTCCGCGCGAGTTGAACGCCGTTGGCGTGGAGTTCGCGCGAGCGATTAATCATTTAAATAAGTTCATCGATACGCGATCGCTCCGGTTACGATCATGATCTCGGTTACATCGCGCCCTCCTTACCTCGTGTACTCGTACCATTAAGTATCGTGTTCTCCATGCGTCGCATTCGTAAACTTCGGATTCTGTTATTTTATATTTTCCCTTTTGTTCTTTTTTTTCGTTAAAATGAATAGAGTCGCTAAACCGAGAAAGTCTAATTCGTGCAAAAGGACCGCGATATGTATATGTATATGTAAAAAGCGACAATTACATTCAAAAACTACCGTTAATCGCGCAGAAATGCGTGGAATGACTTTTTCCTCGATCCGTGACTTTCAAGTACATAGCTAGCGAAATCCGGACGAAAACCACGTGTTTTGCTTGTGAACAGATTTTTACTTATCTTCATGCCGCATAATTTTTCAAACGCTTCTGTAGGGATTTTAATTAACGGATTTTGTAACTGGAGCGCATTATGAAGCGCATAAGTGAACAAAACATCTTGATAGACATTTCCGACGTTGCGACCACGCAAGTTCTTCTTGCATGTGCAAAACTAAACGCAAAGTCACGTACCACGCGCGGAAAATCTGATGAATTTTTAACTTTGTTTGCTTTTTAATGTGCATCGTTAGACGTACTAGTTTCAATAATCAAACTCGAAGTTGATACCTGCGATGAGGTAACATGTTATAAATAAAGTTAAACGCGATCTCTCTAATTTTTTGTTTATTAAAAATAAGATACAATATTTTTTATTGTATCGATTCTTTACTACCACAATTACACGAAAAGTATTTTCTGAAATATATAAAAATTTAGTTAAATATAGATCTCAAAATAATTTTATTAAATTATTAAAATAATTATGTTATGTTTTAATTCAAAATATTTGTATTTTTTGTTTAAGCTAGTTATTGGACAGTCTAACAAAATTATTTTCAGATCTACATACATCTACATTTATCTAAATTTTTAGATACTTTAACAAAATTATTTCTTTTCTGTATATATTGATTGTTTATGTTAACAGATAATAAGAAAGAAAAAAATGTTTTATTGAATTTACCAGAGGATGGTCTGTCCGAGTATCTGGTGCAGTACACCCAAGCAGGCCATAACTGGCCGTTAGTGCCGTTTTGTTGATTTGTCGATGTATTACTGCCACCGGATGTGTTGTCGCCGTTTAGAGACTCGCTGCCGATTGTGGAACATAAGGAGACTGGACCGGTAACCGTGCTACTGGTGACTGAGCTCCTGCTGGATGCGAGACTTTCTAAACTGCCGCTTCGACTCAGTCCATTTTGCCTGAGTAAAGGTGACGTAAGACCATTGTGAGATGGGAAATTGTCCTTTTCTTTGTGGACCGACTGCGGTGACAATCGAGACGATAGACTGAGGTCACGTGGAAGTGGAACTGGGCTGCTTCGTGGTAATTGTAACGATATAGTAGACGCAGGTTGTTTCTCATTCAGAATGGCTTTGCGACCGAAATCTGGCCTGAGAATGTTAACAACGCTGAAATGCAATGGTGCCTCGGTTTCCTGCTGGCGATCCGGCGGATGATCCGGTTGATGCGGTACTACGTGGCTCTCTGGCGACAACACATGATGACGATGATGATGATGATGGTGATGGTGACTGGTGAGTCGTTGTCCCAGTCGCAGACCATACGTCGATTCCATGGACACAAGTGCTACGCTCATTTTAATATGTATCAAAATATTTTTGTTCTATAAAATAAAATAAAAAGTTACAGTAACACTATACTGTTGCGGCTTAAGAAGAACACACACGTTTTCACTGTCCACTGCTATCAATAAGCCGCATTGATTAAAAATCTGTCATTGTCACGATTGCAAATCTCTAAATTAATTTTAACGAAAGTCTCTCGTATATACACTATTCACGTGTCACCAATATCGTGCTGAGTATTCCACACGCTAGATCCCTCGAAAGCTAGCACGAATTCCTTCGTGATTACACGTTCTTGTAATTCACAGTTCAATCTTCAATCGATCCTTAAAAATTGTCGAATCCATTTAATAATTTCAAACATAGTGTCGTAAACGTATTGCAAAAAGAGCGACGTAGAAGCTCTTAGAAATATTCATGCGTCCAATATGGTCTGGTGCTCGGCTCGTGTTAATTATCGGCTCGTCTTTGGAGCCGGTCCAAGTCGAAGACTTCTGCTATTGGCTTTTCCCGAGGTTTCCGAGTACTCCAGCGAGTGCTGTGACGGGTCTGACTGGCTGTCCATCCGTCGCTCAGTGATGTCTAAACTAGGGGACTTGGGGTCCCTACTTACCGCCTGTCCCTCCTCACCCCTGTCCCTTCACTCCTCCTACGCCGCAGTCCGGAGTGCAGTGCACTAGACACCCTCGATTGTATCTCTATTAACTCTTCGGTCAAAAGCTCCGCCCACTGACGGTAAGGTGTACCGTACTCCCTTCCGCTTGTCGTCATCCCCACCGCCAATGGTACGGGTAGTAGGGGACTGCGCTCACGAATTTCCTGCGGATCAATGTTACAAACACCTTTCTGCAGGCTCCCAGTTCCCCAACGAGATTCATCTCTCTTTAATTTCACACTTTTGCCATAACCAGTCAATTAATAGACTAATGGAATTTAGTCTCGTTCATTGATATGAGTCGAAGATTCCATTTATATTTATGTATTGGTATAGGTTTCATTTAAACGCGCAGATTAATTATTGAGAGGCTGAATCGCATTACTTACAATTTAGATGATGTACAATTTAATTTTGACACATGACATCACAAAAATAGCTGTATGAAATAAAAAACAAAAAGGAAAACACACATATTTTTAATACAATAAATGTTTAATATAACATGAAAATTGGTACTAGAAGGTATCAATTTTATCATATAAAAACTTTGTCATATGTTATTACATTAAAACAAAGCTGAATAAATCTCATTTGTATATAAAGATATAAACATTTTAAACAAAATTATTTGTAGATTTATATATCAACTTCTATTTAAGAAATTGCTACAAAAACAGATAAATAGCTGCCGTAAAATACTCTGTACAAAATTTTGTTTACAAAGATTTACAGTCCATTTAACATTGTACACACTTGAAGGAATATACGAATATCCGCGCCACTGCGAACAATAACGAGAATACCCACTTCTCTCCGCCCCATTTGAGTTTTCCCCACCAGTCCAACTAGCAGGTCTCGCCCACGTCCTTGCCCCTCCTCTAGCATGTCACGCCCACTTTCCCACCCCTCCCACTGTGTTCTACCCACTACTCCATACTTTTGTTCGTCCCCACCGCGGCAGTGTTGCCGACCCGGTCAACCCGGTTGAAGTCGACTAATTCGTTTCTTCAAGCCGAAGAACGCTCTCCTTCTTTTTCTCCCGACTCTTCCCTTTTCATCCCAGACATGGATTTTATCGTAGCGCTTCGGAATCGCTTCATACAAAAATTTGCACGAGCACTATCGGTACCATGATCCTCTGTTATTCTCCTTTTTTCTAGTCCCGACGGCTTTGCGACAGTTAACGAACAAATGTATTATCCACCCTATGACTGATGCTGTTCCCTAGCTTTGTTCCTTTTCCATTGTTCTTTATTTTTCTCCTTCACTCTACATCTATGTATACGTATAGGTTTTTTTTCTCTATACATCTCACAATCAGCGTAACTTATTCCTAGATCGCTTAATCGTACTGACGCTTCAGAGAGAGAAAGAGAGAGAGAGGAAAAGAGAGAGAGAGAGAGAGAGAGAGAGAGAGAGCGCAATATGCTGAAAGCTCATTCTTTCTACACTACAGTGACAACTTCACAGGAATACACAATTTATTCTTATTGCTATAGTATCGAGAGGAGGCGTAACGTCGAGTCTTTTGTTTGGTACTTTACGATGCAGCTACCGTGTAATGTACCTTCCGCAATCAGTTCTGCCTCGTAAATCTTAGCACGCATCGCATTTGAATATTTAAAAATTCAAAGAGCACCTTCAGAATACTTTATTAGAATGCGTGAGATCTCAAAGTATCTTCTTGGTGTATTTGTGCAAAAGCGGAAACTATTAACACGACAAATGTAAAACAAGTGGCATTATCTATTATCTGATGTGTTTTTCCCCGAGATCATAATTTTATTCTCTATATTATACGCGATTGCACGATTATCAGAAATCAGATTAAATCGACGTTCGAGTCAACTTTTTGTTCGTCGAGCTGTTTTTTTGCTCATAGTGCGATCATCACGTGGAATAACGATACTCTCGTCTGTTAATCAACGGAACAAAATTACGGTCATTAACTCTTTAACGTCTAATCGCGTATCGGATGTTCTTCCTTCGAAGTGTTATTCAGTCCTGTCATGAAAGCAGCGAGACTACGCATTAGAAACACGCAATATATATGTATAAGGACTCGTCGTTAAAACGGCTGCAATTAAAGCCCGTAACGAAATTCGCCTTGCGATGTAAAGGTCGCACGCAATAAGTCAGGTGTTTCACGCGGTAATTGGCGGAGACAGTCGACCCGCCGTTCACGCCTAGAAGAACACGCTCAGTCGATGCAACGACGCAAAAATGAGACCTGTAGAAACATCCAGGAGACGTGCACAATTTGCAAATTTAATGAAATTCCGCGAATTATATACGTTATAGCTAAAGTAAAAAGCTACACTAAAAGGTAAGTTTAGAAATATTTATAATATCAAGATAACGTAGAACAAATATAAAACTTCTTATTTTATTAATTAATTAGACACAAAATGACATTTCAATGGAGGAAGAGAAAATATTTTTGTTGAATATATATGTATAGAGATACGTAAAAAAAAAATAATAATACTACTTCAGTATATCAGTTAAAAATTGAAAAATGCTTTTTTTCATGAAATATCAGGTGCATACTTTTACATCTTTTCCTATGAAAAAATTATCATCCGATGTATCCATGCGATAATTTAACAAGTTATTCATCATTTAAATTCAAAATGTTTGCAAAGTAATCAATTTTAACTAACTGTTTTGTATCAAGTGTATCAAGTTGATAGAATGTGTAAAAAAGTGTGCGATGTATTGAAATAAGCTTTTAAATGGAAGTCATAAACGTACTCGCTTAACAAACCAACATTTTTATCAGCGAAATCAATCATCGCTTGGATTTGCCTTACGTAGAATGTCATAAATTACAGGAGCGATTTTTTAAGCCAATTATTGCCTATATATCGATCGGCCTTCGAATAATTTCTACTAGCCACTGGTGTGAAAGACGTTATTTATATCTTTTTCCATTAACCATACCGCTCGTCTTATTTAATTACTTCTGCCGCTAATCTTACAATTTTTAAATAATTAAACCACTCGCTAATTAACGTAAGCAATATATCATGTCACATTGACTCAAAATAAGTATTATTTATTAATAAAAAAAAAACAAGTGCATTTACATTTTTTCGATTATACAAACATGAAAATAATAAAATATGACTGACATCAATAGAGTGCAAAATTGAAAGATATGCGCACATATATTTTTTTTACATATTTTTGCATATTTATTACTTACATGTTTATTATTTTCTTACATATTTATTACTTAATTTTCTTTGCTTCACTTTTGCACCTGTCAATCCCGAATGTACGATTACCTCCATCATATCAGACTCATTACATTAAAGTACGCTTAAAGCTGAGAGAAAATTATAAATTTCTTTTTAACCAATGAACAGGGTAAGAGAGAAGGTACCGCAATTCTCTGTGATTATCGTCCGCGCCGCTGCAACAACTGACGTGGCTCCCCCGAGGTGTACCTTTTATACCCGTCTCAAGAACTGGCGTCCTCAGTCGCCACAATGTAGACTATAATGTCGGAGAATTGTGCGTCCGTCCGTTTTACGTTCTCTCGTCCTTTCGCGTAAAGACCCAAAATTCCAAGAAAGAGAATATACAATTCCCTGTGACGGACGCGCGACCGACTTTGGCAGATACCTTTTTGCCGCGTGAACGCGCGCCCTTCGTATCCTCGTCGATGTCGATGACTGGCTTCTGTCGGCTCGATTTTTTTTTTGACCCGACAGAAGACGATTTCCTTTGTTTCCTCTTGTCGCAAAGTCTGCGAAAGAGCACGTAAGATCGTCGTTACAGCCGACGGTTTTATTAATGGCCACACCTACAGAGACACCAGCTGCCACGTGAGCCGCAGGGCGATCATTAGCCGCCTCGTGTAGAGACAATAATAGAGATAGCAACCATAAATACCTACAACGTGTCCATCTATCAATAGCGTCTAGCCAAGCCAAGTTAAATTTCAAATATTTCCATATGAGATTATCGGGCTAATGTGAGGATCAATTGTATGCACTGATTTATCAAACTCTACGGAAAAATTTTTGTTTTATTTTCTAAAGTAAGTATCATCATTAATTGACGAAAAAAGATGTTGAATGAAAAATTATATTACCAGGAAAAATGCAACAAAATATATATAATCGTATAATCATAATGATCTTTGATGATGTTTTATGCGTTATTTTCATTGATAAAGATATATATACTTTTATATTTAACGATACATTGCGCTCTTATAATTCTACTTTATTCTTAATAGCTATTTATAATCTTAAAATTTTGTCATCAAAATTTATGAAAGAATTTTAAAATCATTTACATCCAATACTCTTTACTAATCGGTACATTCATATCAAACACCTTGAAAATTGGCACAAATGTAGCGTGACTACAGAGAAATCTTCAATCATCGTTATACCATATGTCATTCAATCGCAAATTATAACTCACAAGATTGTTGATCGCGTCATCAACGGTTCAGGCATAAATTATTAAAAACGCTCCTATTCGAACTGCCTGCTCATTGTTTGTTATATACATTGAGGCAGAGGCAAATCACCAAAATGCAAACCTTAATCTCCTCGTTAGAACGCGCGCGGTGCCGCGAACGAGTCCGCGAAGCCTGTCGAGAGAAAACGCCTACGGCGAGACCAATCGCCGCTCTGGGACGTCAGGGATTGATTGGGTTTTTCGTCTCGCGAGTCGTCCCCCTTCCCAAAAAGCGAGCAACGAGACACTCGGACGTAGCGCGCGGCGATCATTATTCCCCGAGCGCGATTTGTAAACGGGTTCTATTTATGGCACTG